TTAAATGAGAAAGTCCTGTTTAATTTTGCTTCTTAGGATTACATTAAAATGGAGAATAAGCAGTTTAATTTAAAATTGTATAGGCGGAGGCAATTAGAAAGATACTCGGGCAAGATTCCAGTAGGAAGAAGAGAGAAGAGAAGATCAAGAAGCGTCAGGAACAGTTGGCACAGGTACAATGTGCTTCCAGAATGAATTTTTTTTTGGCGTGCTTCATTTATTATTATTATTAATTTCGTACTACTATAATTTTTTTCGTGAAAAATTAATTATTGACAAACAGGAAAAGGCAGCTCATGCGCTAATGCTTGCATCAAACACCATTAGAACGGTCATGGGACCTACTGGGACTACTGTCACGTTTCCACAGGAGTTGGGATTGCCTAAATTTTTCGAATCTAAATCCTGCAGGTAGTTGTTTTGTTCTCTTCTTTTTAAAAAAAGATAAACAAGTTTGTTAGTAATTAAATTAAACCTCAGGGATAGTTTCGTAAGACATTGACTTTGTAAAAGATTTAATTCTTTACTCGCACACCATTCTCAAAGCATTTGTTCTTCCTGGCTTTGCCGAAACATTTCTATCTACTTGATCGACTGAGACTGTAATCTATTGATTCATTCTTAAATTTTCAGTTATCCTCCTCCACGAGAGAAATGCGCGGGCCCCTTCTGTACCAATGATTATAAGTATCGTGATTCAAGGTTAAAGCTTCCTCTTTGTAGTCTTCAGTGCTACAAGGCAATCAACGAGAAGATTAATGCTGGGAGGGCCTGCTAAAAATTGTGGCTTATATCAGTTGATGAAAAGTATTCCTACATATTTATGCAGTGATTGTATTTGATTTTGCTTACAGGGCAGAAGATGGTAGGATTTATGATAAAAGTCCAGATTCGGGGAAGGACCTTTTTTGCAGATACTTATATTCGTATGTAGCTCTCTTCGCGTCGATTGTAATCATGATGCATGTATCATTACTTGTTTGTAAGTTTTATCTTATCTTGTAGCTAATGTATTTGTCAAAGACAGCCAGTTTTGGGAATGAAATGTTAGTTCTAATGGGTCTTGCCAAGACATAGATAAATGGTAATTACGTAGAGACTTTGGTAAACACGATAAGCTAACTTATAACTTATTTGGTTAGCTTATAAGTTTTTTGTATTTAAATAAATTTGGTTTGGTAGCTCCTCTTGTAAATTGTGTGGTTATACACTTATGGCATGATTGGTATGATGAAATAGAATTTCGTAGGAATGGAATGACTTAAAGAATGGAATGATTATGAGAATGGAATGAAACATGTTTTGTCATTGATGCGTTTGGTACGCAGAAGAAATATGACTGGAATTGAATGACATTATCATTTTTTATTATAAAAATAAATAAAAGTTTTTTTTAAAAAATAATATACTTGTAATAAATTATATATAAATGCTTTTTTAATAATATATAAAAATAAAATAATATAATTTTAATAATATATAAAAATAAAATAATATATTGTTTAATAATATAAAAAATAATATATTTTTAATCATATAAAAAAATAAAATAATATATTTTTAAATTATATATAAAAAATATATTCTTAAAAGTAAAATATTTTTAATATTAAAAAAATATATTCTTAAAAGTAAAATATTTTTAATATTAAAAAAATATATTCTTAAAAGTAAAATATTTTTAATATATAAAAAATAATATATTTTTAATATTTTTCAATAATATATTTTTAATAATATATTTTTAAAAGTAATATATTTTTAATATATAAAAAATAATATATTTTTGTATTATATATAAATCCTTTTTTAATTTTATTTTTATATAAGTATTTAATATATCTTATTAAAACATAAATAACAGTAAGTTTTTAATTTTTTTAAAATAGTTTTATTTAATATATTATAATCATGATTTACAATATATATTATATATTTATTTTTTATTATTATTTGTTAATTTTATTTTTTGAAAAATTGATTCTTACACACATGGGAATAAGAAAACATTCCATTTACTATGCAATAGCTAATCCCATGGAGATGGGTTTTGCCATTGGCATTGAAATGACCATTCCTTCCCAAAAAATATATACCAATCATGAGATAAGGAATGAGTAAGAGAATGATCATTTCATCCCATGTCATTCCTTCCTACCAATCATGACATTATAGCTTATCACAAATTCTTGGGTTGTGGCAGCCTAACCATTAGGCGGCTCGACCTATCAAGTTCTATAAACAAAAATATTAATATTTCTTTTTATGATGTTTACTAAAGTATGATATTTTTTAATAAAAATATGCATATTTATAAAGAGAGTATGACGGTCTCATGGTTAGGTCTGCCTAACACTATACCTAACAATGACTTATAAGTTAATAATTTTATAACAACAATAGTTTATAAGTTAATCCTTTATAGTGTGTGGTTGATGACAATTCCATTAGTTTTTGTTTTTAAGTTCCCTTGTTAAGTATATGTGCTAAGATACTTTCTTGTGGTTGATGACAATTTCAACAGTTTTTTGTTTTTAAGTTCCCTTGTTAAGTATATGTGATAAGGTTGAACTCTTAAAAATACACATGTAATTCTAGCTGATACTAATTTCAACAAGGGAATGAGTGATTTATGTTTGATGCTTTTACAAGGTATTAAAAAGTAATACTCATGACCTTTTTTCTTTTTTGGGTAAATTAATTAAAAAAGTTCTGCAACTATATACAAATTCCATCGGGCAAAAAAATATCTATGACCCGAACACACTTTTTGCAGTTTGCAGTCATACAGTGCTCTTGCCGTTAACTAGATAAGCCTCCGCAGACCACCGCCACCGCCGCCGTCTTTCTCATGGCGCATCCATGCTTCTCCTCTTCTCTTAATTTCAACTCAACCTCGCTTTCTCTCTCCTCTCCGAACCCTAGCTCATCGCCTTCTTCATCCCTCAAGACATTCTCATTCCCGTCCCAAACCCTCCGTTCAGGGTATGGATTTTCTAGCAAAACGAAGCAATCGGACCTCAAGTGTTCTTCCGTGAAAGCTTCGCACGCGCCGGAGTCTTACGCTCCGGCAAGGAGCTCGCGAAATGGTGTTTGGTCGATTAGGTAAAAATGTTTGTTTGTTTGGTAGCCATGGTATTTACTCGCTAAGTCTACTCTCTAGTGCTCTCTCTAGTTTTAGCAGATTGAAAGTCGTTTTTGTGAAATTTCACGCATCAATTTTGGTTTCTCGCTAATGTAACTAATAGTATCCGGAAAACTTAATCGGCTCTTAGGTTAGTCGAGGTGTCTTAACTTAGTCATACAACTTTCAGAAACTCAAGACGGTTTATAAATTGAATGTTGATAGCTGATTTTTGTTGTTGTTGACAGGGACGATTTGCAAATTCCTTCATCGCCATACTTTCCAGTTAAGGCGCAAGGGTCACTGGCTCCAATGGTTCACGAGCAATTTATGAGTGCCGTCGGCCAGCTTCTTCAATATGTGAGACAACCTCTGGTTTTCAGTATGAGAGACAATGTTTGATTGAACTGAAATGCATGAGTTTCTCTCTGTACACTGATTAAAGTTCACAACTTTGTAGAGGATAATACGATGCGGTGGATCTGTGGAGGATGACATGGCAAACATAATTGTAGCTCAGTTGCTCTATCTGGATGCTGTGGATCCCACTAAGGTGTATCTCATTTTCCATCCTTGTTTTCTTTCAAATGTTTTTTGTTGAAATTATTCAGTTTAGTTCATATTACCGATTTCAAGGGTATGGTTTCATGGTTGCATTTTTCTCAGTTCTTGCCCATCACAGGCTGCCATGGAGAACATATGCTATTTCTGTTTAAAGTTCAAACCACTGCAATCGAGTTAACTCAAAGCTCTACCGTCTTTATTAATGTTAACTATGTTTTATATATTTCACTTACCTCCTCGAGAATATTCCTCACGTAATTTTCAGGAATTTGTATTGACAAAAAGGAAAAAAATTTGCCAAGATGTGATTTTGTGCATTGTTAATCAAATCTTTTGATTGGTCGACATGAAGGAGCGAAAGATGGAAGTTTTAGTTCCAGTGCAGTAGCATAAATAAATTTTAGATTCTATTATCTGATGAAATGGAATGTAGATCATTATGTAGGTGAATACTTGACTGATCTATCTGTTGTGTAAGTGATCAGGATATAGTCATGTATGTGAACTCTCCAGGAGGATCGGTTACTGCTGGTAATACATCTTCTATTACATTATATCCAGTTCGCCTATTTTTCAGATATCTTATGTTTTCTTACTTTTAAGGTATGGCAATATTTGACACAATGAAGCATATTCGGGCAGATGTCTCAACTGTATGTGTCGGACTTGCAGCTAGGTGAGATAAGTTTACCCTGGCTTTTGTATCCCCAGTTTGTCTTTGATATGGAACAGAACTCAGACTTCTCCTCCTTTTCAGTGGACAATGTAGTTCTTAACAAATTATTATGTACTAGCCTTAAAATTAAATTTCTGCAGCTTTAAGCTCTTCTTTGAGTTATTTGATCAAGAGTAATCTACTATATATTTGAGATTATTCTTACCTTGTTATTAGACATCACTAACATAATTAATATCTTATCTTTGTCTCAACATTTTTGACATAATAACTATAAAGTCTGCTATGTTTTGCAAATGCATATTATTTCCTACTATTGTTAAATGTTCATAAATAGTGTGATTCAGCTCCTCCTGCATTTTGCTGAATAAAACGACTTTCAGGGTATGAAAATTACCTTGTGATGCAAACTTACTTTATCGTCCTTATTGATGGTGCAGCATGGGAGCTTTTATTCTTGGTGCTGGTACTAAAGGTATAAGATTCAATCCATTAATAAGTTTGATATTTTGCAATGATGCGGAAATTTGGTTTTCTGCAATCGGTAATAACGTAATATATTTTACATGTTGTTGGTCATTCAAGGTAAAAGATATAGCCTACCAAATACGAGAATAATGATCCATCAGCCTTTAGGTCAAGTACAAGGTCGGCAGGCGGACATAGAAGTTCAGGTAAATTATATCTTCTGTAAAAGGGCCACGATAATCTTGTTTCAACTTAGGCACTGCAGATCAATATTTTCCATATAGTATATATATTCTCAGTGCAATCTTTGGCTATACCAACTGTCTCTTCTTGTTCACAGGCTACTGAAATGTTGCATCACAAATCGGTTTTAGCCAGTTATTTAGCCTACCAGACGGGCCAAAGCCTAGAGAAAATCAACAAAGACACTGAACTCGATTTCTTCATGAGTGCTACAGAAGCCAAAGAGTATGGGCTCATAGATGCTGTCATCTCAAACCCTCTTAAAGCCCTACAACCACTTGCAGCAGCTTAATGAACTTTCTTGATAAGTCTTTTGAGTGGCACGTGATTTGAATTTCTAAGGTGTGATCAGTTTTCAGTCTCAGTTGTGGTTGTTTTGAGTTGTTCCCAACTGTTTCTTACAAACATCCGAGTTTATTGAAGAACTTTTCGTAGCGAATTTAAATTTATTTGGCCTGTTGATTGAGAATTTCTAACATTCACTGTGTGAGATGAAAGCGTTTGATAAATTCACTTTGGGCACTATCCTGCGATTCTCTCGTGTTGTTAGGTTAACTTTGGTGATGGGAAAAGAAAAAAAAAAAAAATCTGCTAATCTTGGCCTTATCTGCTCCATATTAGAGAGGTTTCTTTTCACGTGAATCAAACGCAACAAACGTGAATTAGTAATTGCAATACTACATACGGATAACTTCCTCATAAATTTATCCAAGAACCCTTGATGTGTTTCAAAATTATATAGATAACCCATTCATTTTGTACTTTGTCAAAAAGATGAAATGATTTCACCGCTACTTAGTCTGAACCTGAGTTAGTATTCACACTACACATACACAATTACAAATGCAAGAAACTACCATCTAAATGACTCACCACTCAGGTGGGATTCACAATAACTCTCTCCTCACAAAGTGTGTTTTTCATCAACGACGTGAAAAACGATGATGTTGGGAGCTCCTCTAGCTCGTCAAAGAAATCATTTTCCTCCGCTTTCACGAACTGAGTAATCGACTTCGAGTCTCCTTCTCCTTCATAAAGCACACCAAGTGTTTGAAGATTGTCGTTAAAGGAGTTTTTCTTGTCTTGATCCACAAATACATTGTCCGGAGGGCTCAATTGTGTTTCTTGTTCCTGTTCAGGGGCAATGATGTGAGTTTCGGTGAGTTGAGGGGCTGAATTGATAATATTTATCTCCTTGGGCTCGGTTTTCGGGTTTTCTGGTGGCAAAGGAACTGGGCCCGGATGATTGCTGCCCTCCAATTGTGTTTCTTGTTCCTCTTCAGGGGCAATGGTGTGAGTATGGGTGAGTTGAGGGGCTGAATTGATAATAATAATATCATTGGGCTCGGTTTTCGGGTTTTCCGGTGGCAAAGGAGCTGGGCCCGGATGATTGTGGCTCGACGTGTAGGTAATTATGAGCTTGGAGGAGTCGGTTTTGCTCCGTTCGACTTGTTTCTTGGCCGAGCAGCCTTTCGATGTGCTGCATCTGTAGTAGCCCCTGCATGCATTGAACATAACTC